TTCTCTTCTTTGGCACCTCCTTGGTTTTCACAGGGGTTGTGGGCTCTGTCATTGAGATAAGAGAGGAATGAGGGCTGGGTTCCAGAACCAGCAGGTAACATGGACAGGCCAATGCAAGTGAAACAAGAGACATATCCACCAGCCTGCCACAAAAGCCAAGAGAATGGAGCACTGCTCCTGTGTGTATCATGGGGAGAACCTGGGGGAAGAGCCCCTAAGCTTGGCAGGATGGGGCACAGAGGGAGAAGGGTACTGGAACTTCAGGGATGAGGCCTGCAGTTGCAAGACAGCAGAAAGGGATCTAAGGGGTAGGAGCAGTGGGTACTGCTAGTCCAGAGAGGAGCAGCACCCTTGTATGAGGCTTGTTCTAATCCTATGAGGAAATCAGGAAGCTAGTGGGAAAAGGAAGGGATAGAGCCACACCTGCTGGGAGGTGGGAGGCACACTAAGACTGCACCTGAAGGGAGGACAGAGACAGCACAGTAAGAGAGGCACCTGGAAGTGCCTTCAGCAGAAAAATTCTCCATTGGTTGCTGGAGAAATGAGGAGGAGCTTACAATCCATCTCCCACCTGTGGGCCTCTCCTCTCCTCTCCATCACCCAGCCCCCTAGCACTGGGTTCTACGTCAGGCCAGCTAAGACAGGCTGTATGTTAGGCGAGAGGGAAACATGAAGGCCAGGACACAGTAAGGAGATGTTTTCTCCTCCCTCAAGTCACAGGAAAGCAGGAACACACAAAACTGGGGGTCAAAAACAGTTGCCACCAAACACAGCATCTCTGTGGTTATAGTGAAAAACCAGTACTCACTCACCTGCAGCCACAGGAGGCTGGAGCTGGTAGCCTGTCAGCTCACACCAGCCCACAGGATAGATATCTGGTGACTCGCAGTCCACCCACTGGTCATACTCATTGTCCCAGCCATCAAAGTGGATGCTGAGGAGGCGATGGACTACACGCTTGACTGTAGCCACGCAGATGAGTCGTGGCTCCATTAAGTCCACCGCTTCTAGCTTCATGCCTGCTTTGAAGCCATGGTTTGGACAGTCCTGGTCAGAGGGAAAAACCCACCATGAAGGCTTTCAACCCAATCTCAAACTTTAATATGACCCTGCTGCTCCAGTTATGGTACCTGCCTCCAGCTCAGACAGTGGAGACAGGACAGTCCTGCTTGGTCTCTCCCATAACAGAGTTACAAAGTGTGCCTTCACCTACCCAAATATGAACAGGCCCAAATTCCCAGCATAACAAAGCAAACCCAGTTATTTCCCCAGGTAATGTCAACCTGCTTTTCTTGAGGTCATACACTAAGCCAGAGGGTACAGCTCATAACACTGAAGGGTTGTCCAACTACAATTCTAAACCAGGACAGTGACGGGGGCTGAGCGAGGCTGACAGGCAGGTAGGTTCACCCTTCTGAGACACCACCAAGCTGTTCTGCCAGCATGGAGCAGAGACCATATCTCTACCCCTGTGTTTCAGTACTGGGCGAGAGATCCCTGCAGGCAGAACCTGGGAGTACTAAGGAAACACAAGCACGTGTCATCCATAGATCCTCCTGGCTGCTCCCCAAAGTTTTTGGCCGTTAACAGCCTAGCTCTGAGACACCTAAGCTGCATCTGCTCCTTCCTGTGGGCTGGTGTGAAGCTTGGGCCTCTGCATGGCAACTCTCCCAGGTGGTACTCACCGTGTTGAAGAGCCGTGCTGGCACTGCTCTGGACCTGGTCTTTTCCAGATAACTTTGCCAGTTGAAGGTCTTTGCATCGTACCCTGCAGCAGGAGGAAGAAGGGCTGGTCAGCAGACAGAACAGCTGGGAGATGCATAGTAAGTAGCAACAGTGACTCAACATGGCTTAGGGGCCCTTCCCCTTGCACTCCCAAGGCAGAGCTCAAAGGAAGATGAGTGGAACCATGCAGTTTGACTGAGTGCTGCAGTCTAGCCTCAACCCCCTGCTACTGAGCAGAGGTTGGGAAAAGCATCCAGCCATGCCATACTCTGAGAAACAAGCAAACATGTCCAAGAAAGCCTATGCTGAAGCCAATCAGGCCATTCAGGTCCCCAAGAGGGGATGAGCAAGCTGGAACCTCCTGATTTTGAACCATCCAGGCCATGTCCCCTTACAAAACATGTAGTCAAGAAGTCAGAAGCCTTGCCATGCTCAGGTTTGCACATGGAGGCCAAGGGGCTCAGTCTCACCTTTTGGTGGGGTCAGGTCAACATTGTTCTTCTGACAGAAGTTGGCAGGGAAGATGGCATGTGAGGAAGCGTGGTAACAGAACCAGTCCGAGCCATCTGTGGAGGTAGCCCCATCAATGCTGATCATGAGATACCCATCCAAGAGGACCTGTCGCAGCACAGGGAGGGCAGAGCATGAGAGGGGCAGTTCAGCTTGCTCAAAAGCCTTTGGCTTTGAAAGATCCCCATGAACCCTGCTGCTGGTTTAGGCTGGAACCATGCCCTGGCAGTGAGAGCTGCCTCTGGGGTGTGACAGCCTGTCTTGCTCTTCAAAACAGCACCTAGCTGCAGCATTTTCACTCTCCAGGAGCCGGCATGGCCTCTTGAGGGAGCAGATTCATGTTGCCTCTTATCCAGAGCAGAGCATCTGGGAGAAAGGGCCGCCCTTGCACAAGGCATATGCTGCATTGGCAGAAACCTGTCTGGGAAAGCCAACCTGCAAGCTGCTGCAGGCAGTGGCACAGCCCAGCAGATGCCTATCCGCATCTGTATGTTGCCCCACTGCAGAGTGAGTGCATGAACCCAATTTCCAACCCTGCTGCCTAATCCTCTGAGGGTCCCCACAAAGACTGGGTTATCCTGACCCTTCCCTCCCAGCAAGGGACAGAGAAGAGGCTCCACTGTCCATAGCTTCAGTTAAGTACAGCTAAGCAAGACAGAAGGCTTCACCCCACCCCTTGGCCCAGGTTACCTTGCACACAGTAGCCACGCAGATGTTGCCCAGGTTCAAGGGATCAATGGCCTCCAATTTCATGCCCTCCTCAAACCAGCCACCTTCAGCATAGACAGCTCGCACCTAGAGCAGACCACAGGTACAAAGAAACACCCTGTTGGTTACCACCAGAGCCCAAGGACAAGGGGAGGAGTTTCAAAGCCCTCTGAGAAGCACAGTAGTCCTTTGGCTGGCTAGGGCCCATATCGGGAAGAGAAAGGAAAGGCTGTCCTAGATAAGAAACAAGACATGAAGGGAGGGAGTTGGGGTGACTGAAGAAGAGGGGCAACCACAGTCAGTGGAAGGCAGAGTCCAAAACAAGCAAGGGGGGGAGGGGAGGACAGGGGACAACTGATCCTTGCCTCAGACCCAGAAGCCTCTCAGAGCCAGCACCTCACCTTACCCAGGCTCCTTCAGTCCAACTCAACCTCATGCAAGTCACCACCTCACCATGACTGAGTCCCATGCTGTAACCATTCCCCTCAAAGCAAGGTCCCTGGACATAAGGGCAAGAATACCTCCCACCCTGGCCCCTGCACTAACACAACTCCAAACCCATAGGACTGACTCCATCTTTGAGTTCCTCCGACCATGCCTGCAAGCCAAATCCACTCCATCCCCTTGCACCCCAGCTTCAAGCAAAGCTTTAGGCTCCTAGATCCACTGTTGCCACAGGGCAGAAAAAGCTTGGCATCCATGTGTGACAGAGTCCAACAAGTGGGGCTGACACGTGGGAAGGAAAACCCCACAGGTTGGCAAGCTTTCCTGTGCCCCACCCCACTTTGCCATGGCAGTCTCAGGTGTATGGGCAGGGCTCTCCTACCTTCTTGAAGAGATAGGGGACGGCATCGCAGTATATCTTCCGGAAGGTGGGGTGGTTTGCCATGTCACTGCGCTTTTCTTCTGTCCAGGGACAGAAACAGGAAAGGGGAGAAAAAATGAACCCTCTACACCGATGGAGGTATTCAAGGTGGGGAGGGGGTGGTTTGCCTAAGTGGCTGTCCGTCATCTGCTCAGAGCTCAGCAGCTATTAGAAAGAAGAGGGCACCAGCCAGTGAGAGGGCACTGGAGGCCAATATTCAAAATTACCAAGGGAAAAAGCAATGACCCTTCTGAGTTACCATGTTCCATGTTATGGGAACTAGGGTTGAAATCTAACGCTGCCAAATTCATCACTGAAAAAGGAAATGTTTCCAAGGACCTAACCCATGGGCACGGCAGTCTGCTGGGGAAGAGTAGCCAGAGGAACAAAAAATGGGGACGCTTTTTTAAGGTGTAAAAAAAAAAAAAAAAGGCATACCAGCTTCTAAGAGCAAGTGTCAGGGACTGTCTTGTAACACAGGGAGGAATTCTGGGAAATTCTAGTTTCCCAGGAGGGACTGAGGGAAAGAGCAGACCCGGGGCCTTGGTCTCTTTGTCATCTGATCTCTGGAATTTCTCAGGGCCCTAAGCTTGCCAAGAAGTCTCCTCCTCAAAGGGACATGCTCCAAGATGAGGTGATCTAAAAGGCGCTCGCTCTTGAAGGGGCTAGCAACCTGTCACAGAGAGGCTGCATAATTGCAGGGCCATTAATAATTAGACACAGTAAAATAAAGATGGAACACCTCTACATTGCAGAGCAGAAACTGACTGTGTCTGGGGGCCTGAGTCAGAAATAATATTTCTGCTACAGATGCACAGCCGAGTATAGCTGGCCAGGTGTACCACAGTCGGGCGTTTGGTCTTTGGACCCTGAGGGGAGAAACTACCTGGCCAGACAGAGCCAGTGGCCAGACACAGCAGGAAGCAGGACATCCTATGACATGCCCAGCTTGCAGAATAAGGATGGGCCTATCAGGATTAGAGTCATACGTGGACAATCACCATCAGCATCAACCCTAACCCAATGCCACTGCCTCTTTGGAAGGTCCCAGCCTGGGGAGTCCAGCCAGAAAGCCCACGTGTCACGTGGGTCCCTACCTGTCTTCTTGATGTTGTGGCCCACTCTTCGTGCCCAACCCACTGGGTGGATCAGGGGGCTCCACATGTGGCACCAGAAGTCATCATCGCTATCGCCATCCTCATAGAGGAGCCTCAGCCGGCCGCCAATGACCGTGTCCACAACCGCCATGCGGGCCCGAGACACATGGTCCTTGTCCACCACTTCCACCCGCATGCCCTGCCGGAATGGGTACTTCATGTTCTCCGCCATCTAGGGAAGGCAACAAACAAAATGGAGCATTTCTAGCACCTTCCCAGGACGTGACTCTCTCCACAGGTACCCTACCCACTCAGCAGCTCCTCACTGCAGCCACCCCTGGGGAGAGAGACAGCAGCCATAGGCAGAAAGTGCTGCTGCACAGACTGCATAGACACCTTTGGGTTGAGAAGTGAAGAATAACCTGCTCTATAGAAACGCCAAGGGCCATTTCAGTTTGGCAGGGAGGCGTATACCTCATTGGCCCTGAAGGCGGCCACAAGGTCTTCAAGAGTCATAAGTGGGCAGAGCCTTTCTGCTGACTTGAGAGGGCAGCAGGATAAACCCCTTAGTGTCACATCTCACTAGTAAAACAAGCTCCAGCAACAGGGACCTGCCCCCATTATAGTGATGCACGTACTTAACACAAACTAAGGGGCCAAGACAGAACAACCAGCACCACTCAGGGCTTTTCTCTGGGACTCTCAACTTCAATCAGACTCAGCCCTGCCTACCCATGAGGCTTTTTTAAAGCCCCAACACCTTGGTGTCCGAGAGCCAAGGATCTCAAGAGCACAATGAGCTCTTGTGCCATGGGTCTGAAGTAACAGTATCTTAGTACACACATGCATGCATGCATGCATGCACGCACCCCACCGCCACACCCAGGTGTACCTGGAAAAGAAAGTTTTTCCCCAGGCATGGTTACATCTCAGCTTCTCTCTACTGCCTCTCTGTTGAGCAAGTCTCCAGTTTGTTTCACCACCTCCCAGCAGATCTGACATTATCCCATGAATAAGCCACTTCATTAAAACCCAACCTCCTAAGCTGTCACAGGGGCCTAGCAAACTTTGCTAGACTTGCCAGTGCAATGCCCCCAATTATAATGCCTCCCATGTACGATTGAATCCCATAATGCCCTATCCTATCAAACACTTCATGGCATTAACCTCCTCCCTCAGAAATTCAGTATATACCCAAAGAAGCAGCTTTCTAAAATCTGCCGCCAGGGGGAGCCTACCCTCTCCTTCTCCTGGAACATCACGCTAGCTGAAGCAACCTAAGGAACCGCTGAGATCTAGTGGACTTCTTGGCACAGATATTATTGGCTCCGTGCATTTCAGGTGAGCCCCTGAAGCTACGTGTGTTAGGCTGTCTTGCTGCTCTGCTTCCCCAGCCTACTGCTGCGCTTTCTCATACTGAAGACAAATGTTTCCTCTCAAAACAAATGGCTCATTTCTTTGGAATAAAACAACCTAGGTGAATGTTTTCTTAAGACAACAGGCTTCGCGAATTCATGCCCTGATGAAAAACTAGACCTTCCAACAGTATTCTGGGCTTACACTGTTTGGTAACGGTTGCTTCGTAAACCAGCCTAGGCCTCAAAAGAGGAAAAGGTCTTACTGGGTAGGACCGTGGAGACCAGGCCATTTACGCAGGACACTGCCAAAGGAGCACTGTGTCCTATCTTCTACCTGGCAGCACTCAGCGTGTTCAAAAGAAACCCTCCTCCATTCCACAAGACACAACACGCTCTTCTTCAATGAACCCCAGGGGAGGTGAATCCAATCAGAAGCAAGCTGACACGTTGTTCCCACACTGTTTTGTCTGCATCCACCCGTGAACCGAGGTAGAAGAATCTCCATACCCATCCCATTACCTTGATATGGAAATCCACGGGGATGGTCCTTGCTCCCACCAGCCTCTTCATGAGGTACCCTCTCCAATCCGTGTACTTGGCGTGGATAGCTGAGCAGGCACAGAGAGGAGCACACAGTATTGAAACAGCTCATGTCACCTCACTGCTGCACCTCCAATAGACAATGCATGTTACTTTTCCTCTTTGTGGACTGTCTCGCTAAACCAGTGGTTCTCAACCTTTTTAGACTCAAGGTATTCCTTGTTAGGCTCAAGCCCATCCTTGGAAAATGCCAACTCTTCGCTTTCACTTGTTTCTTGATTACAGAAATGAAATACAGCAGTTTTTCCCTGGCAAAGAACTCACAGGCTGCTTGTACATGCCACAGGGGTTTAATTCGGTTTAGTTCTCGCTAAACTGAAACAGTGGGTTTTTAAAAACCACTTCAGTTTAGGGAGAATTAAATCAAAGTAAACCCCTGTGGTGTGTAAACAAGGGTGGGGGCTGATCCTTACCTGCCTCTTTGGTGGCAGGGCGGGGACGGGATGAGTTGCTGGCGGGCCGAACGGTCCCTGAGCTGTGTGGGGGTCCCCCAGGCAGCACTTGCCCGCTGGCACCCAGCTCAGCTGATCCCAGGGGGTGCCACAGCCACGGAGGGAAGCACCGGGCCCCCTCACAGCCGTGGAGGGAAGCACTGGGCCCCGCTGCAGCTCAGGCAGGCTCCAGGGAGATAAAAAAAATAAAATAAAAAATCAGGCTTGCCGCTTTCTTCTTTTCTTCGGTGGAAACCGCCTGCAAATGCTCCTGCTGAGTTCCACAGCACCCGAGCTGCACGGGCCTGCCAAGCCCTGAGCACGTCAGCTTCCAGTGCCCTGTGCACTGTTGCACTTTGTTAGGTAGGAACTAAAACGTCTCAGAGGTCTTTTATCTTGTTATATACCAAAGTCATTTAAAGCAGAATATGCCACCGAGCGTGCAAACAGCAATGCCATTAAAGCAGAATATGCTGCCAAACATGTAAACAGCAACATCATTAAAGTGGTGCAAAAGGGCATTTAGGCTGCTCTAAAAGCCAATTTTGTGGCATGTACAAAAGCCCATAAAGTCCACAGCAACTCAGAATGGTTTTGACAGTATAGATTCCTATTTGAAATTTCTGAGTTTATCTTGCTAATCATGTGTAGGTGTTTAACAGGGCTAATATTGAGTGAGACCTTGCATCACCCTTAAAAGGATCCCACAGTATCCTAGGGTGACAATTACTGGTCTAAACTCAAGGTATCCTTCCAATTCAGATCTATCAGCTGCCACTGCTTTCCCATACACACACACATATGTGAATGCCATATGTCACCTGAATGTCAGGTTTGTGATGAGTTGGGGAGAATGTTAGGGGCTAGAAAGAAAAAGAGGACTTAACGCTTTAGATCACCAGACCCCCAAGTGGCTCATTGGTCCTATGGAGACACTAAGTCCTCCCTGTAAAACCATCATTAAAAGGGGGCAGCTGCTCTATGGTAATGGACCCTGTGTCAGCAGTAGCTCACAGTAAATAAAAGCTAGGTCAATGGTAAGCCCATTGTGGCCTTCAGCAAGAGTGGATACAGGGACAGTTAACATGGAGCAGTTAACATGGACAGTTAACAGTCTTCAGGTTTTCAGCTACTACTCTTTTGAGGCCACACCATCTTGCATGTCTGTAATGGGGGCTGGGACTGAGAAAAGATCAGGGACTGCTGCTCCAGGTAGCAGAGCCCTGCCAAGATCAAGAGCCAGTGCACAGGCCTGCTGGATTCTCCTAGCAATCCTGCCTGGGGACATGACAACCAAAGGACACTGGCTGAAAATGAAACAATTTGGATACAGGATTTCAAAGCCAAAGGCATGCAGAAGCAGGAAGACCAGCTCAGAGGAGCCAGCAGCCTGCTCTAACATACGCTCAAGAGATCCCCAGGTAGAGGGCCACATCCCCCACTACAGAGGAAGGCAAAAACCCCCACAGTCCAAACCAATATGACCATGGGATCAAATTCCTTCCTGACCCCAAACATGGTGATCAGTCTGACCCTGAGCAGGGGGGCAAGACCTTCTAGCCAGGAACCTCTGGGTTTGAGTCTCAGCAGGAGCACTGGCACACCCCAGTTCCAATCCCCAGTCGTGGCTGCAATCAGCACCCAATGCTTCTGAGGAAGGCTTAAAAACACCTTGACATGTAGCAGAAAGGGGGAAGAGGTAAGCAGCAAAGCCCAGAAGCATGGGAAATTCCTATAGTAGAACACAGGCATAGCTATGCCTAGATCATCCTCAAACAATGGCTGTCCAAACTCTTCTTGAGCACCTGTCAGAAGAGGTGTGCGCATATCCAAACACACAAACAGCATATCCAAGCCAGAAAATGCCAGGCCAATGCTGTTTCACCAGCACTCCCAAGTTATCCCTCTGGCTGAGCAGGGACGGGCAAAGCTTCTCCATCACTCTCCTGGGTCAGCCCTGGGGACCAGTGTGAACAGCATGGTGTCCTCGCTGCTCTCCAGGGACCAAGAGAAATGGCAGCAACCAATCAAAGACAGCCATGGCCCTGCAGTCCCAACCACAGCAAATCAAGCTTATGACACCAAACTAGGAGAGAACCAGACTCCCCTGGCACCTGTTCTCCCAAGCACTGGGTCCAACAGGCACTCACTCTGAGGGGGTACCAAGATTTTGCTGTTGATAGCACACCAGCCGATGGGGTGGATGTCCACTGTGCCCAAGTTGCACCAGAAGTCGTAGCCAGAGTCAGCCTCAAAGCCTTCGTAGCGCAGCAGTGCTCTGTACCCTGCCAGGAGAGAGGGAGGGAGGCTTGACGCATCAGTCTGTATCTCTATTTTGGAGCATGCTGAATGCTTTGCCTCAGCTACCACAACCCTACGCCCCAAGTCATTCTTGTAGCAGACTGTCAACTAGCCAGGCTAGGTACAACCGACCTCTTTCAACTTTCTGCACCAGTCAGTTTCCTCTGGCACTTTCCGGCTGCTAGTGAACCTCTTAGAGACTTACCTGCAGTCTGGATGACTGAAGCAATCCAGTACACCCGGCTGGGGAGCACAGCATCACTGTTCAGCACTTCCACCTTCATCCCTTTCACCACATCATCCCACTGATCAAACAGAGGCACCTGCAAAGCCGGGGCAAAAGTGAAGGGAAAGACAAGAGCAGCAGTTACAAACCAGGGCTGCAAGAACTGTACAAACAGGATCTCCTTTATGCTCATAGCCTGTGCTCTAGATTTTACCCTTTTCTCTACAAACCAGGTCTCTTTCTAGCCTTCATGGCTGGAGGCAGAAACCTTGAAAACTTCGGGGTGTACAGTGCTGCCTGCCCGAGCCTGTAGACAGCCTGACATATTAGCTCTTAAAAGTCTCCAAGCACAGCACAGCCCACAGACAGAAGTTTAAGATGAACTCTGTTAACTATTTTGATGCTTCCATGAGATGTGGAAGTCATGGCAGGATGACTAGATAACCAATAATTAATCCAATAAATCCACGTGACCCTCATACCTCCCAGATACGAAAGCCTCAGTCAGCCAAACCCCAACCTATTCACTATTGTGATACACAAGTTCATCATCAACTCTGCATTGTAGCTGAAATGGGAAGATAGAGCACAAGTTATTTAATATTAAAACCACTACCACAGGGCATGTAGCTGCAGCTATCTGTATTATATATACAGGCAGTCCTCGGACTTAGGACACAATTGGTTTCTGAAAACCCTGTCTTAAGTCGAAACTTTGTAACTCAGAACCAATTTTCTCATAAGAAACAATGTTAGAAATGGGGGATTGGTTCCTGAACAAAGGCCCGATACCCTATTTTCACTAAATATATCTCAGAATTTTGTACTTGATCAATTATAGATAAGTAATATAGCTACATTAATGTATTTATATTGTAAATAGCAATCATATTGTTTTGGAAGGACTTCTTTGAGGTGACTTTGCCGGACTTTTTGAAGGGTTCTTGGCTGGAGCCTTCTCAGGAGACTTGGCTGCAGGTTCTTCTGGAGTCTTGTCTGCTTTCTTAAAGGAAGTGTCCAAGAAAGTTCGGACAGAGGTTCTCCAGGGAGATGAGCGACGCAGCAAACTTGTTTGCTGGTGTGGTGTCACATCAGATCACGTGTTGCAAAGTCAAAACTGACATTAAAGTTGAAACAGGGTGTCAATTTATAAATGCTGTAAGTGTGAAACCTTGCAATTCGAAACATTGTAAGTCAAGGACTGCCTGTACATAAAAACTGCCATTTTTCAACTGACCTAAGGTACCTGAATGGCCTCCATTACAGTGGCATGTGGGCACCGCTTAGTGCATTTACCTTCCTTACATCCCTGTGAGGCTGGAAAGTAGCAGTATACCCATTTTGCACATAGGAAAGTGAGGCACTGAGAGGTTAAGTGTCTTGCCTAAACTTAAACAGGGAATTTGCGACAGGGCTTGAACTCAGTTGCAGGCTGGCATGCTAACCAGTGGGCTATCCTTTCCTGTCCGATGTGGAGCAGGCACACAACCTCCCGTCCGTACCACTCAAGGAGCTGCAGAATTCAGGATGTTCCCAAAGAACTAAGGCCCGGCTTTCTGATCAGAATGACCAACACCTGTGTTGAGTCAGGTTCCTCCCACCTTCTCCCCTAAACCTCTGTCTGTGCGTCCACTATGGAAACAGATCACTGGCAACAGAACCGGTGAGACAGCACTACTGGAAATGGCAAAAATGCAGTATAGACACATGGCTTTTTTATTTTGTCTAAAAGAGCATGTAGGAGCCCCCATCATGTTGAGGGCTTTCCTGTTCCTGCTACGGTGAAAAACCTAAGAATCTTCAAGGAAATCTAAGATGAGGAACAAGTAAAAAGGAGGGGGAAAAGAAGGGAGCCCTAGCACAGGCTGCAATGTACACTGTCCCACATCTGCCCTAGCATGGTGCTTCACCCATTGTAATTCAAACGCTATCTGGGCAGAGTTCCTGGAAATCCAATTTTGAAGGCCTTCGGCAAAGCCAACAGACCTGTGGAAGAAGAACTCAGCCTCCCCCCACACCAATAAATCCCCAGAAGCTCCCATGTGTGTTGCTACTTTTGTTCAAAAGGGAAGCCAGCACAAATTCTGGGTTCCAGCTCTACTGAAGTGTGTGAGAAGCTGCCAGGACGTGCCTGGGAAAGGTATGTTCGGCCACTACCCAGCCTTCTCGCCTGAGAGCAAGGTTATTTCCTCTGGTGCTCATATGCCCTCCAATGACATTGGCACTTGGGGAGGATGCTCACTAGGTGGAGCAAAGCTTATAGCATCCAGACCTGGCAAGGCTGACAGATCCAAACTGTTCGCAAGATTTAGGATAAACAGCTGTGGTTTCATAATGAGAAAAGGGACTTTTCTATACTGAGGTAGCTCCACCCTTGTGGTACCAGTTGAAGAGGGCAAGGACACTTGACACTGTGAAAAAGAATCATAGAAGTCGGGTCGGAAGGGACCTTGTAGATCTTCAAGTCTGACCCCCCGCCTGGGCGGGAGAAAAGACTGGACTCAAATGAGTCCCACCAGGTAGGCAACAAGCCTCTTCTTAAAGACCCCCAGGGTAGGGGCCAGCACCACTTCCCTAGGAAGTTGGTTCCAGCTCCTAGCTGCCCTAACTGTGAAGTAGGGCAGATGTCTAATCTAAACCTACTCTCTAATAATTTGTGTCCATTGTTCCTTGTCATGCCAGGGGGCGCTAGGGGAAACAGTGTCTCCCCTAAACCCTTCTGGTCCCCCCTAATGAGTTTATAGACAGTCACCAGGTCCCCCCTCAGCCTTCTCTTGTGAAGGCTGAACAGGTTTAGGTCCCGCAGTCTTTCAATGTAGGG